CTAAGGGTAGGAAGTGCTGTAACAGAGTGCATAATTAGGATGCTATAAAATTGTAAGAGCCCGACAACTTTGGGGATAAAGGAAGGCTTCACCATGGCAGAACGTTCTAACCTGGGTATCGAAGATTGAGAAGGAACTCACCTGGGCCAAAGGGAAAGGAACAGGGGCCGGTGAGAGCAAATAAACTCATTATGGGCGTGTTGGTGTGGCTTGGTGTGTCTCCGTGTCATAGCTGAAGTCACAGAAATACTGTCTAATTGGTACATTTGAATATATGTAGGACTAGGTGGGGAAAGAGACACATAGAAATTATAGGCAGGTGTGTGGTGTGTGTGTCTGTATCATCATAAGGAAGTTTTATGGGCCCGTCTGTATTGAAGGGGATCCTTGGAGTGTCTGGAGGTGGGCCTTTGGACCTTTCGGAGAGCTCCTAGTGGGCAGTGGGGTCGATTGGTGCTCATTTCCAGGACACCTGGGCAACCTGGGGTTTTGCTCCGTGGTCAGCAGTCCTGTTTCCAACCTTATCACAGCTTCTCACGCACTTCACGACTCTCCAAGTGTTCTGAAACTTTGCTTCCAAAGAATCTCAGGAGGATTCAGTCTAGATCTTCCTCAGCTCTGGCTGAGGATCTCCATCAGCACTAGAATGAGGCGACCTTGATTTTTATAGGCATACTTAACTCTGATTACATTACCCCAGGAATGCCATCATTTTGTGGCCTAGCATGCGCTGTGCATACAAAAGCATAGTGAGAATTTAAAAGTTTATTTCCAATGTTGATCACTCTTTCAGGGCAAAAGCTTTTAAGAGCGATCCAGTATTTCTGATAAATTACAGTAAAGTGGTGCCTACATTTTTGGATGTAATTCAGAAAGTAGAAAGAAGCTTCTATTTATATAATCCTATATCAGAAACTCTTAATATATAATGTGCGAATCACAAAGGCAATGCTGTGTTTTTTCCTAATTAGTGGGAAGCAGACATAGCATCAGATCTGAAGTAGTTTGAGGCTTTTTCTATCTCAGTATTACTTTGGGTATATTTAATTTTTCAGACACTACTGAAGCATTAGAAGAATTCATAGTTAAACTAACGTCTTAGGTTCTGTCAAGATGGATCATTGTTCTATAAACTTTTGTTTTACTGTCTTACCACTTTTAAAAACAAAACAAAATAAAACTAAAACAGGGAAGAGAGCTCAAAAGGGGAGAGCAAAGCTATGTTGGCTGAAGAGCAGTAGCAGTTGGCCAAGCCCTAAATATGTATGTATTGAATACACTTAGGAACAGTGTATGCAAAACATTTTTCTTAAGGGTCAAACCCAGAAAAACACTAACTTAAGAGAAATGGAGGTCTTTACAGTTACAGTGAATAAGATAAAATTGAATGTGTTCAAGTTCTAGGTTTTGCCAGGTTGAGGAATCAGAGGTCATTAGAATATTAGGGCTAAATTGCACTCAGCCCCAAAAATAAGGATTCTACACGTCCTGCTCCATCATCTTACTCTCCCCTTGGAAAGTTAATGGTACACTCTGTTCTGGTGTCTTTATAAAGGGCCTTGTTTCTGCATCTTCCGTCAATACCATGAGTAATGCTGTTGCGCATATCAAGACCCCACCTCCTAAATCTCCCTAGAGAGAATCTGCACTCTCTGTTGAGGCAAAGAGGATGCCCTTCTCCAAACATGGTGTTTCAGGGCAGCACTGGGCATGCTTTTGGGCCCAGAGCATCCCCTTATGGAAACAGTCCCTTTAGATTTTAGCTTTTCTGTCTCCCTTGACACAGAATCAGGCCTAGAGACATGTGGAGAAGGGTAGCGTGGTGCCTGCTGCATTTCCTTCCTCCCCAGCTCTTCTTCTGGGTGGCCTCGCAGAAATAAAACAAAGCAGCAGAGCTACTCTACTTTCCCTTTTAGACTCCACCAAAGGTCCACACGCAGATAGGTGTGCCTGGGAGCCGGGGTCCGGGGGGCAGATCCTGCGTAATGCAGCTCTCCAGGGGCGGTTACTAAGGTCAAATATTAAGCCTCTGATCACAGTCACAATTTCTGAGGGGTTTCCTCACTTAATATTATTGATCGCATTGGTTTCTTTCATGTTCTGGGCTGTGAGCTAGAACTTTACTTTTTCGGAGCCTTGAGGATTCTATAAGAAAAAGTACAGCCTTGAGGATATGTTGATCTCTATTAAATATTTGAAATATGAAAATATTCAGAGATAAAAAAGGAACAAACTGGTATAACTGACACCTGCTTTTCCACCCTGAGGTGTGACAAATATTAACATTTTTCAGTATCTGATTCACATCATTATTCTCTTAAGAATTAAGGTTTACTTGAAGCCTCCTGAAGAACTCTTCCTAATCCCATGCCTCTCCTTCCTCTCTGAAAGGCAGCCACTATACTTAAGGGGGGGGGCTATATACTTTCATAACATGTGTAATAAAAATGCACATATGTTGAAAGTGTGCACTGTACTCTTTTGTGCATTTTTTAAATTTCTCACACATCATACCTCTTTTCAGTTTGTTTTCCCAGTCAACACTTTGATTTCAGAGCTTACTCACTTTCATCTATTGGCTGCCCCAGATTCACACCCCTGAGTCAGTTTTGTCCCATCCATATGCACTGCCAGGAACCTGGAGTGAACAGCTGACAGGGTGCCCCCAGAGTTAGAGGACTCAGGCCTGCTATAGAGCTGGTTGAAAGAGCTCCCTTAAAGCAGTTGTAGTTATTCCCAGGTTTAATACAACTCTACTCGTTAACTCAGAATATTCAACCTGACAAGAAACAACTGTAACCACAAAGACGCAGACATTCCTGTGACTCCAGTGTACCCAGCCCTCTTAACAGTATCTTTAGAAGTCAATATTTGATCATGCCCTAGGTAAGACCCAACTCACTGGTTGGGACTGGAAAGTTTCATTTTACTGGATTTTGTCAAAGTGTTTGCTGAAATGACGTGTACCCATTTTCATTCCAATCTGTAATAGAAAGGTTTCCTTTGTTTCACATGCTTCGTAAGGTGAATGCTACTAAGCTTTAATTTGTTTGCCCCTCCCAACAGGTATGAAATGATATTTCCTTGCATACATTGTAATTTTTCCAATTATTAGTGAAGCCAAGCATCCGATCGTGAATACATATGAGTAATACAGGATTTTTTGTGTGTGAATTGCCTGTGCTCATCCTTTGTCTATTTTCTATTTTTTCTTATTGATTTGCATGAGTATTTATCTTACATACATGTGGAAGTACGAATTATTTATCAGTTATTCAATAGGAACAAAGTTTTAGGCAGCTAAGTCATACTGAGGGTTTGATATAAGTCAGTAAAATCATAGTGTATTGTAGGCATCAAATAGAATGAAATTAATATTCAGAATTTGCAGCTTAAGAAATGAATTTATAATTTCATTTTAAGGAAGATTCTCACATGAAAAATGCCAAATACATACAATATTTTCATGTTTAAGGAGGTTTATTTCAATGATCTAGATTATTTAGTCATGTAAAACAGTTTATTCCCAATACAAATGAATAAGTGAAATGGCCTTAGTTTAACATTCTGGTTTTTAGAAATAAATTTTTGATTCTTATTTGTGGCAATACAGCTCAATATCCCCCACATTCCTTTAATATAAAAGAAGTACCAAGGGCCAAATGAAAAATTCAAATGGTGTTGAGAACTAAGCACAGTAATTTGCTCACACAAGGAAATTCACCCCATGCATGCTTTGGTTTTGATCATTTTTATTGAAAAATGGTTACTCTGTTTTTATCTAATCTTCCTCTTTTTTTTTTAAAGTAAGCTACTTTAACATTTTATTTTTTCCTAGTAGAAATACATTTTTCTAGGAAATGTTTGATCTTGAATACTCTGACCCTCGAGAGTAAAGTAATTTAGCAGAGTTTCTCACACTCGGGATTAAAATGGATGTTAAGGTATCCACAGAAGATGGAAGTGAGTATAAAGACAAATCAGTCATGGAAGTTCAGAAATGGAAATAGATGAATGATGTTTCTATTTTATTGTCCTTGTAAATAAAAAGAATTGTTCTTTTGGCTTTCATTTGCCATGTGAATTGATTGTTACAAGATAACAGCTGAGAAAATCATAATTTTCAAGAATCAGTGGATCCACAGAATTTTTTTGAGTAGCCAGTGGGAGTATTTCAGACATTCCACTGTGTTTACTTGCCACAAACCTCCGCTGTGTATGCAGGTGTCCTTGTTTAATGAAAGAGGTGCCAGCATTTTAGAAATATGCGTGTGTATCTTCTTGTGCATTAAGGTGGTCCTAGTAAAATGGAACAAAATCAAATTCATATTTGAGCCCATTGGTATCTTTCCCTAGGCTCCCAACCGGGGTGTCCTAGGATTTCCCTCCCCCATCTCACAGAGCCCTTCCATGAAGCACCCTCCACAGCCATCCCCAATCTCCAATGTCTCAAGTCCTATTCTCAACAGAAGTGGAATGGACTGGGTCATTTTATTTACACTTTACTGTAAATCCAGGTAGTAAGTTAAGGTCTGTTACTCACCAGCTATGACTTTAGCATCTGATATTAGTTAAATATTTATTGAGGCTTTATGAGGGCCAGATACTGTCCCACAAATCTGTATGTATTGAATCCTAGGATCTTTTATTTTATAGACAAACAGGTTAGAAGGGTTAAGAAAACTTGGCAAGGTTTCACATCTAGTCACTAGCAGAAACAAAATTCAAGTTAGGATGCCATGAAATCTCCACCCATACACAGTATACCCTGCTATGTTGGACAGGTTTCAAATAGTTGCTCTGTTGCATACCATCCCCATTCATGGAGTAACAGTTTGCTTCCTCTGCTGAAGATAAGTGGCACCAAATTTGGTCCACCTCAAACCCAGCTCCACTGACCTGTTGGAATGCCCAGAGTCTGTACCTTGCCCAAAGGCTGGAACAAGGGATCATGAAAGAAATATCACCTAATCCAGTGTTTTTCACTTTGTTTAACCCAGTGATGCCACGCTTTGCTGAACAAGTAGAGGTTGCCATCGAAGCCCTGAGTGCCAACGTCCCTCAACCATTTGAGGAGAATGAGTTCATCGACGCCTCTCGCCTGGTGTATGACGGTGTGCGGGACATCAGAAAGGCTGTGCTGATGATCAGGGTAGGTAGGCCTCTGCAACGTGGAGCTGGTCACAGCTTTTCATAGGAACCCCAAAGAATTACTGACTTTAACTTGGTAAGCTGTTTGCCTTCTTATTTAGGCAGGCAAGGGACACTTTTTTCTTATAAAGGGGAGCATGATCCCAGGGAGACTAGATTCGCGCTGAATATCGTCAAGAGTAATGCCCCGCCTGCTTCTTGCATGCACTGCTTCCTAAAGGTGAGGCCAACTTAGGGGTACTCCTGCTACTCTCCACGCACTCCTCTGCCTAACATTTTCCCATAAGGATCAGAAAGCCGTGGGATGGAAAGAAAGCGGATTACCCAGCTTAGTAATATTAGTCATGATAATAATGATGAATGACAATAAAGTGATGCCAGTATTCACAGCATTCCCTCAGACATTCTCTTGGTAACAAATAAGACACTATAAATAAGTTTATATAACCTTTCAGCCACCCTCCCCCATCACCCACCCTACTATCTCGTCATCCTCACTATTTTATTTTCAGGTAGGTGTAAACCTTCCAAACCACTGTCTCAGTAATTATGTATAGACATACACTAGAAAACATAATACAAGTAGACTTTGAAACTCATGTTTTGCCACTTGCATTGTTCAGCCACAGTGTACCTTCACATATTCTATTAAGATGCATAGTTTACCTCATTCTGCTTAACTGCTGGATAATATCCCATTGTAAGATGAAATTTTTTTTTCTTTTTACCTTAACAATTTGGCATCATAATTTTCAAATACTTTTCTTAACTATATAGCTCTTTCTTAAAATAAACTTAAATATTCAAAAGTATGATTGATGACACAGATACATTTGTGGCTATTTTAATCATAGCAGAGATGGGGATTCTTCAGTGCTAACCCCAAAAGCACATGTTCCAGTAGAAATACATGAGCCATATTTGCAACTTTAAATTTTCTAGTAGATACATTGCAAAAGCAAAAGAAACAGATGAAATTAATTTTAATAATATATTTTATTTAACCAAATGTATCCAAAACATTATCATTTTGACATGTGGTAGTAGCCACATTTAAAGTGCTCAGTAGCTCCTTGTAATTGTGGCCACCAAATAGGACATGGAAGTCCTAGACTGTATACTCACTCTCAACCTCCACAGTTGCCTCTGAGGCTGCTCAGTGAAACCACAAGGTATTTGCTGAATGTATTTTGAAAAACTTTCTCTCAGAGGGATTGCTGAGTATCTGAAACATCTCCTTAGACAAAACAGTAACAATCAAATAATTCATTTTCTGTTTCTGGTCCCTCAAATGATTTAAGAATTATCTGTGATATATCATCTTCTCTGGCCATTACATATTTACTCCTTTGACAATTTCATATATGGCATTAATTTACCCCCAAATCCTGGTTGTCCTCTCTGTGGTATGCAGAGCATAACACAGTGTTTCCAAGGTGACCTTCGCAGCTGGAGTAGAGTATCATCAGAAAGGGTATCTCTTCCCTTCTTATTGACATCCATGAATTTCCTGAGACATCAGCCAACTTACTTACTTGGAAGTACAAATTGTGTCTTCTCATTTCTAATCTTTAAGTCAACTTGCCTGTTTTCATGTTAAATGTCTTTTATTCATAATTCTGTGATCAATTCAAAGCATTCAGAACATTGAATAAGTTGTGTCAGATAGTACTAATTATACATAACAATGTGGATTTCAAATTTGAAATTTGACAACTATCATATGTATTTCCTGTTCTTCTAACTTGCCCATTTTAGATCTGTCAGACTCTCACTATCTTTCAAGACCTGGCTCAGATCTTCTTTCCCCAAATTTTCTCCCTTAAAAACACGGACCCTATCCTTTAACTACCTATAAATATTTCTACTTGAGACAGTATTTATTAGACCATGTCCCTTTATATCTATTACCTTCTTTAGACTATGAAACTTTAGAAAGCAAAGACTATTTTTTTCTTTTCCTCCTTCACTGTAGTGCATTGTCTGGCACAGTGCTTTATAATAGGTGGTGGTGAGGGAAGGTAAAGAAAAACAGTTGCCTAGGGAAATAGGAAGGTCACAGAAAGATAAGAAAATTGGAGAAGGAAAGGAAGGATAGTCAGTTTCTTAAGCCTATAACGAATTAGATCATTTTTTTCCATTACATACTAACTTTGTGAAATAAGGTAATAGACCATGAGAGTTATGTTTTCAGAGCATTTGGCATTAAATCCCACTATAATCCTCAAGACATATTCCCTCTTTTGCCATTTTTCTGCTTTGTTAGCCTTCACATTTTTGAGACAACCATTCATCTGGGAAGGTAAGAAATTTTACAGCCATCATTCATTTATTCATTCATAAGCTGTAAAAAAAATATAATTTTAGATAAAATCCCATATCTTTGTTACATGAAGTGTCATTCCTACATCTTGACATTTCAAATGATTTGATCAGATGGAGTTCACACAACTTGAAACTGAGGAGAAGAGAAATGTACAGTATGCACAAATTGTTATTTTTAAATCCTTTTCCATCGAGCATCCAAGTGGCTTCATTTTGTACTTAATTTCTTGGTTTTCTTTCTGAATACAATGATTCTGTCTACTTAAAAAGCACAAAAACAAAACAAAACAAAACAACCTATCACACTAAGGAAGAAAGACCGTAAGACAAATAGAGCTGCCTCTTTCCCAGCAAACCTGCCCATGCCTCCTTCCCTCTGAAACTGTTGATTATACTTTGGAAAAATAAGAAAAAAATTTTTTTACCAAAAATAAATGCAAAAAGTACCAAGGGTCAAATTCTCCATCCCCTTACCTCTCAGTTATCAATAGATATTTAATAGTGATGTTGGTATCTTGGTGCTCCAGGCCACCTCCCATCATCCCTCTCAAGTAGACAAAGCTTGTCCTTCCTGTATTCCAACCTCGCCTTTCAGGACTCTACTTTTCTCTCAGAGCAGGTCTACTCTGTCCCTCTTCCATAAAACTGCCCCCCCCCTTTTTTTTTTGCTACTTGCTGACTTGTCCTTGGTGATCTCTTGGCTACATGGAGATTTTCTGATTATCCCAGCATGGTAATTTAAAGACTGAACAGGCAACTCTGGCAGCAGTTATGTTCTATAATGTTTCTGTGAATGGAATTAGACAATACCGAAACATTGTTCCTAAGGAAAATTCAGGGCTGTGTTCCTGTGAACCTCTCTGAGTTCACATTTTTATCAACTGGTCAGTTTTTAAGCTTGTTTTATGTGTGCTTTTGTTTAAAGACATTGTTTAATAAATATTGCTGATTCCTTACTATTGAATTGATAGCTTTAAGTCATGCCTGAAGGAAGCTTATTTAAGAAATGCATTTTTTCTATCAGGTGCATAACAATTTCTTGCACTTAGGTACTCTAAACACTTCAGCACTATGCTTGGAAGCCATTTAAGGAGAGAAATAACCAAAAAATAAAGCAAAAGAAAATGTAAAAGTTGTGGCACTCAATAGATTTCAAAAAGGATACTTGTTTATGGTATTAGAGCTGAAACAAAAAGGTATAACATTGTACTCCTTGACCTCAGCTAGGAATATACACCTTGGGTGACTGAAATTTTTTGCCACATTGCAGGTATCTGTGAATAGAGAAGTATTGATTTGGGGATTGCAAAGAAGCTGTGGTGAGAAGACAAATTCACACATAAGAAATCTACAAACAATGACTAACCAAGTACATATATTTAAGACAGAAAGATTTAAGTATTGTATCCGAAACGTAAAGACAAAGATTTAACATTCCAAACATCTTGGATATTAAGATAAACAGGCAGGGTAGAAAGTGATTATATCTTGATATCAAGATACCTGTATTTAACAAAGCAGTAGTTGCTTCTCATATTAATGACCCTGAAAAAAATCTATAATGATATCTACACACTAACTTTCTGTAATTGGAACCTATTAATTAGGTTCAATGTGATATTCTTGAAAGCAGGTTAGAAAAACAATAGGGCTTAGGACAGGGTTCAGATAAATGTAAGTAGTTTAAATTCAAATTTTCCAGACTGTGCCTAAAGTGGTCCTGCAACATCGCAAGGTGTTTCAAATTTCAAGGGAAACACAGAGACATATCTCATATACTTCCTGAAATATAGCTGAAGAAGTACACAGTTTAAACACTGGTTTGGTATATTCCTTTTGATGATATCATACATTTGTGAAACTGGGTTTCTGGTTTTGCTGTGAGAAAAACCAGGCGCAGTGGATATTCAAATATATTCCAAAGTTTGAGAAAAAGTGCAATGTAAAAAAAACATTAAGTTGGTATTTCCAATCAACTTAATCAATTTTTGTGATCTGACTGGTAAATCTGCTTAATAAGCAGAACTGTTAATTTTGTTCAGCCTTATGGCACCATGAAAACATGTCCAAGGCAATGAGAGGCAATGAGAATACTTGAAGGAATAAAGTTTGGGGACCTATTGCTTAATTTGTTCTGGTTATTGGCATGTGAATTTTCTTCTCTATGCCTCAGTTTCCTTATATGCAAATAGGGACAAATATTACAATGGCTATAAGGCACTGGAGTAGACCTGGCATTTAGTAGGTTTCCAAGAAATATTTCCTTCCTTCATCCTGCTCATATGAAGCTTATACAGTCAATCAAGAAACTTGAATTTGTTGAATAAGTCAACGCCATTAAGAAAATTGTAGGGATTGGAGTCTGAATATTTGTCATAGTTAGAAAGTAAAGGGTTGAAAAGACTTTGAAAACAACTCATGACAAAATTGATTCACCTATTAAAGACTGCTGTTATCCCAGGGATAGTCAACTAATCAACAGGGTCCCAAAAGGCCCTAGTTTTGTTTTGCTAACTCAATTAATTAGAAATAATTTAATGTCTTTAATGTGATAATTTGATTTTGGTCATTCATTTATCAATATTTGTTGAATGCTTACTAGACCACCCCCACTGTTGGAGATACCCAGAATACAGAGTTTAACAAAATAAACACAAGTCCCTATCCCCCCAAAATTTATATTCCTTTGGTGGGAAACAGAACACACAAGGACATATAACATGCCCATTATTGTGCCATGGAGAAAACCGAGGCAGTGCAAAGTGGGTAGAGCACAGGCTGGGGATGGGTTCTGTGAAGGGTTGTCCCTGGGTCACATCTGAGAAGAGACTTGAGGGAGGAAGAGGAACCAAACAGTAACAGTATTAGGAAAAGAATGCTCCAAGCAGAGGGAATGTCAGATGTGACCTAGGGCCACACGGAATGAGGTCAGAGCCATTGAAATGTTCTGAGCAGGAGAATAACAGGATCTGACTTAGACCTGCAAGAACCTCCCTGGCTATGCTGGTAAGAATAGAACTTTTGGGACAGAGGCAGAAATAAGATCAGTTAGGAAGCCTCCAGAATAATCCAAGACAAAGATGCCAGTCAGTCCTGACTGAGATTTTGTTCTACATTGGCTTTAGGCAATTCTAAACTTAATTTTCTATTAAATCCATCCTGGTGGTATAGCACTCTGGGAGGAAATCCTTCCTCCTGCACCACCCAAACTGTCCTGTAGTTGTCGCCATTGTCCTCATCTCCCTGTGCCTTTCTTTGAAATGGGCCTTAATATATTTTTTTCATGTGTCCTAGTGAGATGACTCTAAGTCCTTCAGCTTTTCCTTATTTTGCTTCTCTACAAAAGCTGTTGTAGAGGAGACTGAGCATTTGGTTGGGAACCAGAGGCAGGTAAATTGATATTATCCTGTTCTGACATGTTGGCATGACCCTGGACATGTCACCTGATCTTGTTGGGCATGTGTCATAGGCACAAATTAATCTCATAAACTCTTGGAAGGCAGAGATTGTAGAGGCCAAATGTTTTAATTGTGCCACTTTACAAATGAGACCTACTTTCACAATCTAACAGATAAAACTCGACCCAAGGAACCAAGAGTTGACACAAAGTAGTGTTTTTTATTGTGAAAAGATGTTCCCTGAGAGCACAGATGGACAGAACTGACCCTTGACCCTCAGTTGCCAGCCTCCAGTCTGGTGAATTATACATTGTATGGATTCCTTTTACTCTATAACACTGCCTAATGATCCAAGTTTAATGATCTCGGGACCAATTTGCAGAGCCTTGCTGTTTTTCCATGTCTCCTTTCCTGTGGAGGTCCACGACCAACCAAAAAATAGCTCATATTTTAAAAAATGAGTAATTCAAAAAGTAACAACATGAGAAGTACACACATTTATGTTCAATTAGCACATTACACATCAAAGAACTGTATGAGTGACTAGGCTGGTTTTGCTGCATGTTTAAGGCACAAGAATATATTTTAATCTCATCCTTTTGTCTGGTGGTTTTTGTGATGGTTAAAATCATAGCCTCTGGAAACCCCTGGCTTGCTAGCTATAACTCCTTGGGAATTTTCTTTAACAACACTGAGCCTGTTTACACATCTATAAAATGGAGGTTAACTTTATTTCACTAGGTTGTTACAAGGATTAAATCCTTTAGCTGAATGTCTGGGCCATAGTGGGTGGTAAAAAATTATTTCTATTATCATTATTGTAGTTCTTATTGGATATATATTTTATTATTTATATAATGATCACTACCAGTTATAACTTTAGTTCACTCATGTCACTTACAAAGCATTTTCATACATATTTGACCCTAGAATCCTGTGAGGCCAGCAGGGCAAGTAGCAATTATTATCTCCATTTTATGAGTGAGGAGATAGAGAAGCAGAAAAAAACTAAGTGACTTGCCAGAAACACACAGCTTATGAGCAGCAGAGTTAGTCCAGAAATACTCAGTTCCCTTGGGTCCACATTCAGGTTATTATTTTTTTCATGCTTAAACATTTCTTTATTTTGGTTTCTGGACAGTCACTTGAATAAAAACCTCCTCATTATTAGCCTTAAGCTGCCAGGCTGTGTTTGTCATTGACTCTGCTAAATGCATAGATCACTGAAATGTTTGGACACAGTACTATAGGCACTGTCATATTCTCTTTTTTTCTGTTGAGTGAGGTTTTACATTTTACTTTTCTCTTTTCTCTTGTTTTCGAAAACTCACGACGAAAAGTGCTTGCAATCTTGTCATCTCATCTGTCAGCAGAATTTACCAACTCTGCAATTGTTCTGCACTGTACCCCAGAAGAGTGAGGAATGAGCAGAGATTATTGTCTCTGTCCACAATGAAAATACAACCAGTTATTTGAACCAGGTTCTGCCCACTCCACCCCTGCTTTAGTTAATAAAGTATGGGAACAAAACCTTCCTTTGCTCTCTCTTTTAATATTCCTGAGAAAGAAAATTGAACATCTGTAGATGACTGAGGGAATATTAATAAGGTTGATGGTGAGAAAGAAAGAAAACAAGGTATGCCAAAGCTTGGAAAATTACTAGGCATAATGTGACATTGGCATGAAGGACCCCATTTTATGCCTGTCTGACCAATCTCAAGGCTTCATCAATAACCACACCTGATTAATTACACTGAGGTAGCCAAAGAAGCCAGCAGAATAAAAATGCACCCTTCTGGGTGGAGAATGGGCAACTGCACCATCAGTACTGTGGTGGTCTGTCCCTTCCTTTTGAAGACAGAGACCTGGGAGGTGGTGCTACTGCGTATCAAGGGGCTATTTGTGGGGGGCTGTCACCTTTCAGTCTAACGACAGTTGAGCTGAGAATCCCACCTTAATGCAGTCTCCTTTTGTGCACCGTCTTTACCACCTCCTGAATTTATCCTCTTAGAGTTAACAGAGCGTGATAGTTCACAGTACATGCCTCAAGCTACATGACTGAGGAGGTTTTGAGTGAGGTCTGACCTCTCATGACTTAGTTTTCGTATCTATAAAATTGAGAAAATAGTCAACATCATAAGACTGACTGTTAAAAAAATTGTGAATTACAGTTAGTAGTGTATGTAACGTGCTTGGAGAAAACTGATAGGCACATGGAAAGCACTTAAAGCATGTTATCTATCATCCTTATAGATAAGGAATTTTTTTTATTTTTAGGTTTATTTTTTATTTTTTAGGTTTTTATTTTTAGTGATTTCAAAATCCATTCATATCTTTTCTCTGACAATGACTTCACATTGGGCAGAATCTCTATCTAACTCTTCTCACCTTAAAGCCATTTCATAGCTCCAGTTCTCACCTAACTTGTAATGTGAGAAAACAACAACACAACTAAAAAACAGCAACATGTTCTGAGTCAGACACATTTGGATGTTTGGGTCTGAATTCTAATTCTGTTATTAACTAGTTCAGGGACATTGGGTACCATTGCTTCTCAGAATCTTGATTTCTTCATCTCTTAGCTAAGTTGATACTGTGTATGAAAGAGTCCTTTACTCCTAGTACATATGTAGTAATTGGTAGTTTTTTTTTTTAAATGTTGGAATGAAGTGATTTCAAAATCCTAATACCAATGATGGCACACATTTCAAAATGCCTACTATGTGCCAGATACTCTATACAAGTACATTACCTAATCTTCATAAAAATCATACAGGTAACTATTGTCCTCCATGTGAATTCACAGAGAAGGAAACCAAAGGTAAGAGAGGGTTTTGCCAGTGGTCTCACAGGGGTTCATGTTCTGGCAACCTTGACTGTGGAGTTTGTAGCTGTTACCCAAATACCATCTGGCTTAGTGAGCACATCAGATATTCATCAGGTCAAGTCAGTGGCCTGGAGATGATCAGTCCTTTTTGCTTGTTGAGACTGAAAGAGAGCTGGAATACAGCAAAAAGGGCATTAAATAAAAGGCACAGGTGCAAGTTTTGTTGTTCGTGGTGATTTTTTTATCTTACAATAGATTTGTGGGTGGAAATAACACACAAATATTTTTTTTAAGGTTAGAAGGCATATCATATGAAGATTTAAATTTAGACTTGCTATACCTACAGGAAGAAGTGATTAGTAAAATGCATTTTTTTTTAAAGATAAATTAGGGCAGCTTGATTTTTCTGACTCCAGTATGTCCCGTGTGACCTCCAATAAGCTCGCTCTTGGGGCTACTTAGCCTTTGCAGTGATGAAGTGTATGGATGGGGGTGGAGGTTATCAATTTAAAATATGGTGATTTTTCTTCTTCCCTCTGTATCTTCAGACCCCAGAAGAACTAGAGGATGATTCTGACTTTGAGCAGGAAGATTATGACGTGCGCAGCCGTACCAGTGTTCAGACTGAGGACGACCAGCTCATTGCAGGGCAGAGTGCACGCGTGAGTAGAAACCAGGGCTTTGGTTTGGTGCACAGAGGCTTTGTTCACCAAATTGGCAGGAGGGAATTGCTTATGTCCAGGGAGTTAAAACTCCAGAGATTCATGGCTCAGAAATCTATGCTTTCATCTGGGGTTATTTTTAGCAATTCACATTTTACACAGTGTAAATAACCACCACTGCTTCTGATTCCTTCTAACTCTCTTCTCTCTCCATCATTCAAAACAGTAGCCACATCAAAGCAAATTCTTACGTGCATAGTGGATTTGGTGGGGTTGGGAATCATGACTAGATGACTTAACAGCCAGGGGATGCAGGAATGCTCCTTTCTCGCACTGGAACAGGCGCCATGGTTCTGCTTGAAGCCTCCAAGCTTGTTAACAGCTCAAGAGGCAAGGACAAATGAAGACTGGGAACTCAACTTTGTAAGTGGCTGAGCTGCTGTTGCTCCATATTCCAGCCTAGGGTCTCTGATGAACAAGACCATATCTTTTAAAAGCGGTTCAAGGCCATCAGATTAGAGAGAATTTTTTCTCCCAGGGCAGTAGCCCTAGATATGTCTGCCATGATAGAAAAATTAATTATATAAACATACTAGAAAAATGCCATCTTAAGGCATGGAGTAGGAATCAAAAGAAAGTCCATTTCTCTGGCAAACATTTGAACACTCCTGAATACTCTGTGACACTGTCCACCAACGTTAAATATTCCAAAGAGGATTTTAGGATTTGATCTATCCAATTAGCTGTATCACTTTGAGAGCAGATGCAGGTAATCAAGCAGATGGCAGAGATAAACTGCCCGGGGATTACAAAAGAATGTGAGATTCTCTTTCTTTTAAAGGCTCCATTTCCATAGGGGAAAATCAGTCAAATTAGAGTATATTTGAGTTATATAGTCTAATTCTCTATGGTAAGTCTTACTGAAGAATAGATAATGAATAGAAACCAAGAAGTTGAGAAAGAAGTGATTTAGGATAGGGATTAGGAAACCCCAGAAAGCTCACACTAGTTTAGGAATTGTGAAATAAGAGCATGAAATAGCCAATCAGAGATTACAATAAAGAGGACTCAAAGAAGACTAAACCTTACATGGAAGTAAGAAAGTCTTTGTACTTAAAACCCAATTTCTTTTTTGTGCTTTATATGCTGATAATCTCATTCAACAATTAAATGATCCAGAATATATAGGTGGACATTGATAAGAGAAATGTGGGGGTAAAAGCCAGGATATTCAAGGTACTCTGGCTTTGATTTCAGACAGATATGGTTTTGACTTATAAGGGGTAGGGTGAGGACATACTCCCTTACGTGTTGCTTAATTTTACTGAGCTTCAGTCCTATCTTCTGTAAAATATGAATAATAGACTTACTTGGTAGGATTCTTTTGAAGTTTTAATTGCTTAATATGTTTTAAATACTGAGTAGAATGCCTGACATACATCAAATACTCAATAAGGGATGACTCTGAAAATTGTCATTCTTTGGAAGAGAAATCTCTTCAGATCTCAAGCTGGTGACTGTAGAAAAGTACACAGAAGAGTATGAAGCACCCTACTTTGAAAACCCTTTGTAGACTCTATTTAATCCTCCCAAAATGTTGAAAATTGGAAGTCCATTAAGCTGAGTCTTTTCAGCCTGTGTTGGCACAACACTAAACTAATTCATCAAGTAAGTCAATACATCTTCCAAATTAGATAAAACCAGCATTTTTGTGTCAATGACAAAGGGCAAGTCTGAGTAATTCATCCAAATATTAATCAGTTCAAAGCCAATTTGATTGACTGATGGCAATTCAGTATTGATACAGCTCAGTATCCATTGACTTATTTTCTCAAAGACCATATTGTATAATCCTTATCTTTATAATCACCATCTTGTCCAAATGGCATAATTAGTCCCACTTCTTAAAATTCTTATTGTTCTCACTCACACATCTTTCTTATATTAGATAGCAAGTCAGTAATAAGGGGTAGAAACAAAAGTCCAATGGCACCTGTCTACATCATCCATTATTTCTTCATCCAACAGGTGATAAGACAGTAATGTTTTTTGAAATATTTTCAGCATGAATTATGGAAACTCCAGGATAATAGGAATAAAGTACCCCTCTACTCCAGCACTTGCTGATTTGTCTTTGAGATCCATCATGTGGTCTGTGTGATTAACTTGCTGCAGACAACATTAGTTATTGAGTCATCCTATTTTAGCCTGTAATTATATGATGCCAAATCCGAGACATAGAATTATGGATGTAAGTTGAAAATAAGAGGGTGCATTGAATTGCTGAAATGAAAGATGGTTGAACTTTTGACCAGAGAAGTGTGTTAACTTGATCAAAATTGTGAAGAGGCAGAAGTTGTCTTTGACAGAGCCAGTTGCTTGTTCCAGCTGCCAGTTCTTCCGTTAGTGGCTTTATTTTGTGTTCTCATTCAGACCAATTCTTCCTCTCTGAAAACGGTAAATTAATAGGAGGCTAAGGTAGAGAAAAGCTTTTAGTACCCACTCCAACAGTTCTCTCAAATTCTGAAATTAGAATGTTTATTTCCTTTATACACCCCTATCTGCTGCTTCTCTACATTTTATGAGAAAGTAAAAGTGAATAAGAATGATCATACCCTGATCTCATAAAATGTAGAAGTAATCAGACCCTTTGATCCTATACATGATATTTTATAAACTCTTCACAGATTGATATAGTTAAAATTAGCAACAACTCTTGGGCACTTAGCCTTGGTGATAAAATATATTATTTGGAGTCACACAGACCCGATTTTAAATATGGGCTTGTCCAAGCTGTGTGATTCGTTGTATATGTGTGTGTATAAAACATAATGTGTTTAGGAGAAGTTCATGATAAAATGTGTCACAAGACTTGTCACATAATGTTCAGTAAATGAAGATGATGATGATGGTGATGATATTTGAAGCATGAGTTATTCATCCATTAGAAGGTTGGCCAAATAATTTAACCTGAAAGAACTGGACAGTACAGGCAATCCTGAAAGTTTTTACTTGAAATAACAGGACAATTTCCTCAATTTTCCAATTTACTTGATCGCCTCATACTGGTAAAAGTCCAAGGACCACTCCTTAACTATTTATATTTATTATACCATTTTAAAAACAAGTGAATAGAAACAGGCACATTGAGTTTAATCCATTTTAATAATTATTTATAAATATTCACATACTTGAAGTCTTAATGTTAGACTCTTGTTCTGCACTTAAGAAACTAACATTTGTCAATTTGAAGGTCCATAGACCTCAAAAGTCATCTTTCTCATTGAGATTGGAAAAATCATCATACCAGAAGCTCCTTGAAATTTAGACTGAAGAAAGATCCTGGACTGAGTGTTTGTTGGCTTGTATCAGTGATTTCTACTTTCATTTAATAAGTAGAGTTTATAGCATTAATCACAAAAGAAGAGTTGGCCATTCAGAAGACTGAGAGCCTGGGATGGGAGGAAAAATAGGAAAGTTTGTGGCTTGAAGGATTGAAGGCTCTGATAATGCCAGTCTGGGGCCCCGATCAGCATCCAGACTGCTGTGCCCAGCTGCTGTGAACAAGAGCACACACTCAGGCGGCCCCAGGCGCTCACAGCACACCAGCAGAAAAGCTATGTTTCTTCTGTTTCCTTGGTCTGAGGGAATGAACAAATTCTATGTTATGTAGTTTGTGTTCAACTTGATTTAAATGTAGTCAGCCTCTAATTTTTTTTAAGCTGCAACGGCTTTAATGTGTTAACATTTCAAACTGCTGAGTTACATTGATAAGACTTAATTAAAACTCATGTGTTGAATTTTAATTTGATTAACTTGCAAATTTCGCAGTTTGTGATCTACTGTTTATAGATAACCTTTTTTTAAATTCCAGTTTCGGAAAAGGTCAATTATGAATTTTTAAAAACGAAGAACATTTTAAGAATATTGAGGAAAAGACTTAAGCTTATCGATAGCTATGTAAGCAGAAACAAATGGAGCGACGCTCGCACGCGAGTCACACACCATTAAGTGCATTATGCGAGCTGGGCACCCTTAGAGTCAAAATAACATCTTCCTTTGCAAATCTGCTTTGAAGCAGTCACTTTTTCTTCAGAACTGTGCCCTTAGAAAATATTTGTCAGTCCCAGTAACTTTTCTTGAACTGTGCTGATGCTGTGAGTGGAAAATGTTTAAGCCATCAATAAAAAGATGTTTATTGAGTTTCTACTCCTATGGGTTGCTGAAGCCTCCAACTCTGAGGAAGCTCAAGAGAGAAATCATAGGTAGGGCATTAATGGGTTTTAGAGTAAAGTGAGGCAGTTAGTACTCAAATGCTAAACTGTGTAATTGAAATTCAAATGATAAATTTGACAGATGTTACACCCTTCGATGCACAAATTAACCCTTTGGGGACAATGAAAGATTCATCAATTCTATCTGGGGATTGAATGTAGAGTCTGGAGGTCTTCTGGGTAGTTTTAGATTCTTTTACAGAGAAGCATCTCATGAATGCTTTAAGTGATGTTGGTTTGGACTTCTTCGGAAGTCTAAGTAAAACATGATTATTGATTTTGTATGAGGAGGACAAATTAATATAGGACAGCATTAGATCACCAGGTAGGTATCAGGAAAAAAAGTTCATATTTAACTTCAGCAAATCTACACTGATTTCAAATGCATTGCAACAACTGCCTTGTTATTTGCACAATATTGCATATGTGTTTACAACATACTCTTTTGTGTATTGGCCACATTTTTAAATATAGTTTTTATTAAAAATACTTCAAAAGATTTTTCAAAATATCATATTTTAAATTCTTTAACTCTAGTATTTGTACCAGTCTGGATTTTTAAATATGGATTGTAATTTGTGTACACATACACACACACACACAGGCACTCACACCCTATTTATATAAAGTCACACACATGCATACATGTAAGTGAGTAGATCTGGCTGTCTGTTAGTAAGATGTAACATTTGTGCAGCTGCTAGTCTAAGGATATCTTTATGCAAATCAGACAAAGACAGTCCTTACTTTGGGCAGATGAAGTCTCACCTCTAGTATGCTTAGCTTGGTGGACAACACCTGTAATATTAGCCCCCTTTGCCTTGCTAGTCTGGGATTATTGTCCATTGTCTAACCTTGATGGACATGCGTGTGATGCAGTTGTATACAGTGATTATGGCGTTGGCTGACCTGGGTTTGAATCCTAATCCTACAGCTAATCAGTTGTGTAAAATTGGGAATTTAATTAATTTTTCTGGGCTTTGGTATCATTATTAATAAGATAGAGATAATAATAATATTATTAATCTTATATAATTACGTTTTTTTGACATACATAAGCTTCTTTGCACAGTACCCAGTATACATGTCTGTACTCAGAGAATTATGTCAGCCTTCTGTTTATTGACAATCACCTACACTATGGGTCCATCCCTTCTCTTTAATGGCAATTAAGTAATCAACTATAGAGGTAACTAGAAAGGAAAACTAATGCAGAAATGATGATAAGGTTAACAATAACTCCATACATGACTGACTGTCATTTTTTTTTTTTGGATAAAACACTTAACACATTTATTATTTCATTTGCTGTCCAGCAAAACATTTTGAGGTAACTGTTTACTATTCTTATATTGTATCTGGAGAAGTTAGGATATGATCCAGCAGCAATGAGCTCTGAACCCAAGACAGTAAAAGAGCCTGGTTCAGCCCAATTTTCCTGAGCTTAGGTCCACGGACAGTTCTGTTTGACTTCAGCTACCTCTGCTTCAAACAAGTCACTCATACTGGGAGGAGCTTTACACTTTAGGAGGCAATCTTTTTGCGTAATTGTACTTGTCCTTTGCAAAAGCTGTAGGCCCACCAAGTCATGCTTTCTCCGTTTCTCTTCCAGAGTATATATGTGTCCCAGAATCAGAGGGACACTAGGGCTGACATGCTTACTCATGTGGTCCTTTCTTTGAAACTGGTTGCATCTCTAGGAGGGGGAGGTGATACCACACATTTCACTCTGTGCCTGATGCATAAATGTCAAATAACAAATACAGTTGATTTCTCTTTATTCAGAGTATTTATTTTCTGTAAAGTCCTCATGAACCTTTAGTTAGCAACTACTGAAGCATTGCTCCTAGAGGAAATACAGGGTTAGGTTCCTGAGAGCTGCTAGCCTTGATATCATCTTCAATCCACCAATAGTTCATAACATTGAACTTGTGGCCAGGAACACTAGAACTCATGGCAGAACGAAGCCTATCTAATATAAAAAATTTCTCCTTGAGGCACATCATAGTCTCTTGGGCTTAGGGACACTTAGCAACAGTGCAGCCCTATGGTTGGGTCTGGGTTAAACAGCAAAATCACCAACAAAAGGTACAAAGGCATGGAAAATGTAACACTAAATCAACTGCAGAAAAGATACTTCTTTATAGTATGAATGCTGAAACCAGAAAGCAGAGAATCCCTTTTTAGATGAATGCTGAAGCATCATCTGGGAACACACATGTTGAGTGACACACATTTTTTGCACCTCTGCATGTGTCTATGAATGACTAAAAGCACAGTATTGATTCTGGGGTTGCAAATAAATTTTAAAGAGTATGCAAATTTGCAAATGAAGAATCCATGAATAATGAGAATCGATTGTAGTTCTTCCTTTTCTGTATTTCATTACCTAGCAACTATTGAAAATCAACCTTTGCTTCCTATTCCTATACGTTGTCCCATCACAGCTTCTCTGACTACACACTCATAGTCATTATAGGGATCAGGGGTCATCCCAGGATTTCCATAGAAGAGGTGGAGGTGCTGGGAATATGGATGTCACCCTTGAAATGCCCTGAGCAGGGGATTTTTGTTGGGCATCTAACTGTGGACTCTTTCATTAACACTCATGGAAAGTCACCCCACCTGACTTGGATGCTTACATGTTGTTTAGAATGCCTCTCCTTCCCAGCAACAGAAAGCCTTTTTTTTTCTTTTTTCCCTTTTCTGAACAGATTTCAGTGTTGAAAGAGGTGCATTCTTTCATCTGGCAAAAGTTTTCTGAGACCAAATATAAAAATTGTTAAGAATAGATTCTTTTGAACAAACATACACCATCAAAGCGACAGAGAAATTCTGTTATTGTCAGTGTGCATGGACCTTTGGATCTCTCTATTTTTTGTATGTGGAAATGGGGACGGGCATTTTGGGGACCTCTCTAATCTGTACTTTTGCCTTCCTGGGGATGGAGATAATGCACTTTCCAGAATGGTGGGGCAGCCTGTAAACCTCATCAGGTTGTGGGTTTGCCATTAACTGGAGGCAGAGTCAACCGACTATCTGTCCTTACTTTGTCCTCATTAGTCACACTTTTTCTGTAACCCACACAGGCCATCATGGCACAGCTACCGCAGGAGGAAAAAGCAAAAATAGCTGAGCAGGTGGAGATATTCCACCAAGAGAAAAGCAAGCTGGATGCTGAAGTGGCCAAATGGGACGACAGCGGCAATGACATCATCGTGCTGGCCAAGCAGATGTGCATGATCATGATGGAGATGACGGACTTCACAAGGTGAGGCCCAGAGACAGGGAGGTTACATTTTCTCGTTAACCCAGAAGCATAACAGTGTATATTAGCATGTAAAAGCCTGCTGAAAAATTAAAATACTGTATCAAAGCAAGGTAGTGGTATTAAAAAATTTACATGTGTAAGTCAAAATGATCTGGACCTAATTCTTAGCAGGTGGGTCTTTTTTGGTCAAGAACAGGTTCATTTTTCTGAATATTACTGTTTTAATTGTCTATCCAAAGTCAGTCATAAAATCAGACCCCTAGGTGTTGTGTGACTCATTTTTGGTGTATGCTGTTTTATAATGTGTTTAAATATTATTTTGAAGGTAAGGTGAATGATTTGTTAATATCCTTTTAGAAAAAAATATGCATATGCGTATGTATGTATATATGTAAATATCTTTAATGCTAGTTCATGGTCTAGCTTTAATTTCAGCTCATATTTTACCCTTGCATACAAAGAATCAGCTTTGACAATCTGATTCAATAATTTTGGTGGGAAAATAAAAACTTTATAAGTTTTATTCCCATTTGCTCTGAGCAGTGCCTATAATAAATCAAGAGACCAGTCAGAATTTTGTCAGGAGTCTTTTCTTCACCAGGGGACATTGCTGTTTAGCCACTGCATTTTTAGTCTCCTCTTTAAAGGGAGGTGATGTTTCTGTCCTTCCAACCACGCAAAGGCCAAACCAAGGGAGAACAAAGCTCAATGGAAAGATGCTTAGATTTGGAGTCCAAATACCAGGCGAATTTGGACCAGTCTCACTCTCTTTCTTTATTTGAAAAATGGGAAAATAATGATTTTCTTATCCACTATACAGGAGAGTTTTAAAATTCAAAGAGATAATATAATTGTAAATTATGCTTCCATACAAATGTAAGCTATCATTTTGCCATAGATGTAGTTTTTCTGGGAAAAACACACACATAGATACACATGAGCAAAGGTGTTTTAATGATTCAACCTGGTATTTGTTATTAAAAGTCTGTTAGGATATGTGGCAATGTCAAAACATCATCTTATGGGTGGCATTTTTTTTTAAAGGTTGTTGAATGCATCTAATAAGAAGGGCTACAATTGATTATAGTTATAATAAAATATGGAGCATCTCGGCCACATCCCCCTTACCCTTTACCTCTGGCCCATATGTACTAATAGCATTGCTTGGCCCTTTTTCCAAATAGTTTTAATTTGTTTTTGACTTCAGTGAAATGACTTTTCTGTTATGACAGTGACCTTTGAGACTTTTAAATGTCATTGTATTCATTAAAAGTTCAAATTTGTATATTTGGTTAGTCCTTGTTGGCTTCACAGATTTATTCCCCCACCCAAAAAAAATAATAATAATAGGAAAAAACAGTCTGAATTTACTACAAATCAGACTATCATGGCAGCCTCAGTTGTTGCTTTTCAAGGCCTGTAATGACTTAATTTGCTTGCTTCAACATTGTATTAGTATTTTATCTGATGGATATTATGCAATCCATTAATAACATCACTTGCACAAATAATCTTATTAGTTTCAAGTGAGTAATGAATCTCGTCATGTTGCTAGTTTAGATCAGGAGAACATTTTATAATGCTCTAGATCGTATATAACTGTGGTCAAGGAAGAGATATATTTGAGGGGGTCTAGATGGTGTTAAATAAGGGAGACTTTCAATTAGTCAAAGTGCAGTTTTAAAAGTGAAAAGAAGGCTGCTTTAATTTCCTAGGGATTTCATGTAATAATTTTGTGCTGATTTGAATAATGAAATGTCTGGAATGCTACTGGTTATCATTTTTCCCACTCTCTGATGGGTAGTTTTGTACCCCTTTGTGAGGGCCCAGGGAGGGGTATAGTTATTAATGACCAGAGAAACAGAAGAAGGTGTGAATTGGAAATAGAACACAGGAAGCTGAGATTTGATCTGCACAGTATCTTCCTTTGCAAAGAGGTAGTTGAATTGAGCCTTCCTCTGAGGCCTCCCACTTGAGTTCACCGACTCAACTATATGCATTATTTTTGCCGACATCTTCCAGTTCAAGGAGGAATCATTTCAGCTCTGTACTTCTAATGACGCCTGTGTATTACATTCTCTTATGTAAAGGAACAGATACAGCTGATCAAAAATCGAAACTTGGCTACTCTTCTCAAATCATATGTTTAAAGGGCACTTGGGCACAAAAAATACCTTTGCATTTATTCCCTTGTTGTTTTATTCTTATCGGTCGCTAACTAATTACTTTGATTCAGTAATCTCAATGATAGCCACTCCATTATTGTTGAAATTGGAGAGGTTCTGCCTCATTATTTGTGTAATAACTTCTTCATGGAGGATAAAACTGATTATACCTTGCGTCTGTCTTCTTCCTGTTCGGTTCTCGACCTCCCCCTCACAGGCAGGGGAAGAAGCAGTGTCCTGTGGGGTGAATCCATATTCCTAATGTCATTTTCAGAAAGAAAGAAAGCATGTACCAGTCTTGCATCCCAATAACAAAAAGGTGTGTGTAAGGGGACAGCTGAGGAAAGAAACTCAAATTTAATTGTAAGGCAAGGGAAAAGCCGTCTTTTGAGATCAACTGTAAGTTCTGATCTTTAAGGAAATGGAGTTCAGGCTAAGAAAACAAATCAGGGTACAATCAACTCAGTAAGATATTGAGCACTAGACTAAAAATGTAATCACCCCACACTTCCCTAACTTCATCCCTGTCTTAGTTCAGACACTCAGTACCTTAGCCCAGGTATCATGTGACTGGTCCTTTAGTTCCAATTGTTGACACTTGTCAGTCCATGCCACGCTACATCTGGCCATTAAAGGGCAATCTTTGCACCAAAACTTTCATTTGCTCCTTTTTTCCTAGAATAAAATAAAAATTCAGTTTGCTATCCAAGGCCTACCTTTATTGACCCTTAGACTTCCTTCTCAATTTTGTGCATATTTGTCCTTCAACTTCAAGGCCATAATATAAATGTTACTTCCTTGCTACTCTTAGTTTTGCAATCTCACCCAACTCCTCAATAATCCCCATATGCATTCAATTTTTCTACTGTGCTGTCTTTATGTTGCTTCAGCCAGTGGGTGAAAGTGATATTTTCTAAGTATATTTTATGGAATCTTGGCTCTAAAAAGAGGTTTCTATGATTCAATACATTTGCAAATACACTCCTTACATACTCTGTCTCATTATTGGAGAGTCACATTATATTGACAAATTAGAGGTATTGAGAAAGCTATAGCAAACAAAACTTTAATTTGGATTAACTCAGAATTTAAGACTTGTGGGTTCTAAGAACATTAGCTCACACATTTATTTTTTTATATTAATACCTATTACCTTTTCATGAAATAAATATGAATTAGTTGGTAAATTGTGGATAGCAGGGACACAGGAATAGTTTTCCATGATCCTCTTTTTTTAGAGTGACCACTTCCTGGGAAAGCTTCCAAATATTGACCCTGGTATAAGAATCACCGATTACCCAAAAAAAGAAGGTCACAGCAGTCTGTATGGTAAAGCCAACTTAATGGCTTGATGTTCTTTCTAAAAACATGTTCCAGATGGAGCAATCTGATAGATTCTGGCTGTAAGGTCACCTCATAGCACCTTTTAAAACACAGCATAAAGGGTATATAAGTCATCATTTTAATACTAGGAGCTATAGCCGATGGGTCCAGTCCCTTTGCCAACATTGCCTTCCACTGATAGGAAGACTCAAACTTATTATCTCTTTTCTGAGCCTGGCTTTTTGTTTGTTTTCTTTCTGCCGGCACCCACTTCACATTATTCATATGACTGTGGCTCATTTTAACCTGTGCTGTCCAATGCAGTAGCCACTAGCCACTTGTGACTACTTAAATTAACTGCTTTTTATTATGGTGAAAAACATATATAATAAAATTTACCATGTTAACCATTTTTAAGTATACAGTTCTGTGGCAGTAAGTACATTCACATTTTTAAGCAGTCATCACTGCCATCAATGTTTAGAAATTTTTCAGTACCACTGAATGCCAACTCCCCATTCCCTTGTCCCCTCAGCCCCTGACAAGCACCGTTCTGCTTTCCATCTCAATGAATTTGACTACTCTTAAATATCTCATATGAAATATATTTTGTCTTTTTGTGACTGGCTTCTTTTACTTAGTATAATGTTCTCAAGATTCATCCATGTTGTAGTTTATGTCAGACTTCCATTCCTATTTAAGACTAAATAATATTTCATTTTGTGTATGTATCATACTATGTTTATCCATTAATTCATTGTTAGACACTTGGATTGATTCTATTTTAGCTATTGTAAATAATGTTGGTGTGAACATGCATGTACAAATATCTCCTTGAAAGCATGCTTTCAGATCTTTGGGGTATATGCCCATAATTGGAATTGCTGGATTATATGGTAATTCTATGCTTAATTTTGTCAGGAACCTCCTCACTGTTTTGCACAGAAGCTGTACTATTTTACATTCTCATCAATGGTGCACGAAAGTTCCAACTTCTTCACATCCTCACCAACACTTCTTATTTTCTGTTTTTACAGAGTGCAAGATGATATCTCATTGTGATGTTTATTTGCAGTTCTCTAATGATTAGTGATGTTGAACACCTTTTCATATGCAGATTGGCCATTGTTTATCTTCTTTGGAGAAATGTACATTTTGCCCATTTTTTAATTAGGTTGGTTGAATTTTAGTGTTGAGTTATAGGAGTTTTTATATGTACTGGATAATAACCTCTTGTTAGATACATGACTTGGAAATATTTTCTCTGATTCAGTGGGTTGCCTTTATATTCTGTTGCAGAAGTTTTTTGAAATTTGGACATAGTCAAATTTATCCATTTTTCATTTTTTGCCGGTTCTTGATCTTATATGTAAAAAATCATTGCCAAATCCAATGTCATGATTTACCCCAATGTTTTCTTGTAAAATTTTTATAGTTTAGTTTTTGTGTGAAGGTCTTTGGTCCATTTTGAGTTTAATTTTCTTATATGGTGTAAGATAAGGGTTCCACTTC